GACCATAAATAAGCAAATGTTTATTCCTGGAAAGTAAAAATAGCTAAGTATCTTCAGAAAAACTAAGTACCCAGAAAAGGCATTTCAAATGACCAGGATGGGCTGCTTCTTGCTCTCCCGTATTGTATAGCTATAAATTTTCATGCCTGTTTGAAGATGAAGCCATGATCACCGTACCATTAACAGACAGGCTGCTTGAAAATCAACCCAGAGCAAGCAGCAATATGGACGTAGGACATTCTGCACCCTAGCCTTGTGTCTGCTTATAGATGCACTAACAAAATAAGAGTGAAATTCTTGCTGCACGGCTGCAGAATTATTACGGGAAGGAGGCAAAACCACTGTTGCTCTCCTGTCAACACTGCCCAGTGTGTCACAAGTGCTCCAGGCATGCTATGGTTATGGCTATGTAGTTACCAGCGCAGCTGGACCTACCACCGTTATGCTGACATCAAGAATTTCAACAGGGCTACAGTTTTGCACAAAATCTGGGTGTTAATTTTGTACAAAAAGCACAGAACAGTGTAACAAAACCTGCTCTCAACTATATATATGAGCATTTCAGCACCTTTCAAACAAACTTAGCCCTGCAAAAAGCCACTCTCGCTCCTGTGCGGAGACTACAGTGACTTCGGTTAAAAGATCCGTGTTCAGGAGGCTGCATAGTAAGTTTACGGATCATACAGCCTGCAACAACAAAAATCCACGTATTGCTGCTTGTCACTATAAGTCATTAAGGGAAAATACACAAGATACATTCTGTTTATATACTGTAAAATATTTTTAATACCAACAATTTGGATTGTTTCCATTTCTCAATAGAAGATGAAAAGAGCAGGTTATTAAAAATCTGTAAAGCTCGTTTTCCTAAACTGTCTTTTAGGAAATCCAAGTTTGATAGTTCTGAATTCAAAGGATTCTAAAAAGTTCACAGTTGACTTAATGGTTGCACTAGATATAAAAGTAGACAGTCTTGATTCCTTCCGTGTCGCACAGACAATAACATTTTCAGAGCATGTCTGGAATGAATACCTCTCCAACTGTAGATAGCATTTTTAAAAAATATTCCTAAAATTCTTGTTTGTCTCAACTCTGTCAGTTCACAGCAAAGCACAGGAGGTGATATCTGATTAAATAAAATGTGTTTTCTTATATGAACTATGAAAAATATATTGCTCTTTTAAAAGTAAAAAAAATTGCATTGTTCTATTATTTTTGTTACTGGAGACTCATAATTAAGAAATTCTAAATCCTGGAAGGAAAAAAAAAAAGAAACACAACTTTTAAAATTGCTTACAGAATAGAAGAGGTTTCTGTAGACCCTACTGAAATCAGTAGAAGTTTTGCCTATTTTTTTTCTTGTCAATACAGAAGCACTTGTCTACACACCTATTTCATTACTTAGATGAATATTTTATGTTTTCACTTAGTAAACTCTTCTGCTCTCTTAGAGGTGCTCTTCTGAAAATTCTGAAGGAGACCTGAGAAGGTAAACTGATCCGAATTATTCTGAAGGAAAACAACATAGTCAAAATAATATCTAACATAAAACTATCACTGAGTGGATTATCTTTCTTTTTGAAAGAAATTATTCATTTTCTTTCAAAAAAGTTACTGCTTTGCTATGGGCATTTTTAGATCTCCATTAGCTACTTCTTGCTTATGACTCCTCAGTTCCTTTCTTTAGCTAGGAAACATGTCTTCATGTGTGAACTAATACATCCTATTGCCAAACTTGTTGGCATTATTAATGACGTCCATAGACAAGAACTAGAACAGGAAATCTTATGCATGGTTCATGCTATGTAAATGGTAAGCTATCAGAAGAAACTTCCCTGATTATTTGGGAAGAACAAAGAGAGATCTTTTTTTAAAATTCAAAGGGAAAAATCCAAGAAAACAAAGAAAATGCAAGATGCACTTGATAGTCTCTCATTATCCTCTCTGTAATTGGGCTGTTGCTTTTGGCTGCAGACATCCAGTTCACAGACCATTTTCCATTTCCTTTGTTTTCATTATAAGAACAAGCTGGTTAAAGAAACTCCAACTTGGTAATTCTGAACTAAGCTTTCCGCATCATCCCTTAGGAATTTAAACCTTTACCACCATTCCTTACTTTGTCTCCTCAGTGCCTTCCCCCATTAAACCCTGTGAAAAGCGCTTTGAGAAAAGGCGGGTGTAAGATGTGTAAAGACTCAGATCTTTAAGAAAATTCAATAGGAAACAATTTCTTGTAGTTCTCCACTGCCATTTGCTATAATGCAGTGGCCCCAAACATCTGTTCTCAAATTTCAATTTACTTGATCTACCAGGTGTTTCACATTGTTAATAATGGCAACTCACAAATTTACAACAGTCACATAAGGCAGTTACATAAATACAATTATGTCAATCAAGTTCACTGCATCTTTCTCAACCAGACTACACATGACATTTTTCTTCTTTTCCTCTTACCATAATAAAAGGATGAAGACTACATTTCTGTAAAGAGAATCCCTGGACAAAATTCTGGTATTGAAGTCAGAGAGGTCACTGAAGTGCATTTCAGCAATGTCCAACAGTTAACTCAACCAGGATGTAGATGTGATGTTTTTCACTTCACACATAACAGAACTGGTGCAAAAAACCCACTTTAAACTAGTTACTTTAAACCTTTTGGTCCAAATACATAAAATAAGCAGTATTTACAGCATTTTACTCCTTTTGTAAATGCAATGCTTTAAAACACATTATAAAGCACCTTAGTAAAAATATTCTACAGGTAAAAGTATCGAAGTAGTAGGAAAACCCTAACCATACCACAGCTCACTAATGGAGTCATAATATGGATTCACCAATACCTCAGTTTACAATTATTACAAAGAATCCATGGAGAAACTTAATACTGAATTTACGATTTTTATACCACTGTGTAAGGACCAACTAGAACTGCAGACAATACCAACTTTCTTTGTAGTTTTCCCAACCTCAGTCAGTGGTGGTGGGGATAAAAAACAAAACAAAAACCCCACTGCTCTGATTCTTTAACTTTTACAATATTAACGTGGAAATGATGTTTTAATACTAATGATTCATCGTATTTTTTAATAAAACCACGTATATAAATATGGGCAATTTCAGCAGCAGCAGCTTCTCAGCAGAACATGATTAACCATCCCAATTAATATCATGTGACATGATTCACAAAAACAAAGCACAGATGTCAACCAGTTATTAACACTACTCATTGTATACAACCAAAATTTCCATGTTGAAAGCTGGGAAAAATGATTTCCTCTTCACAGAAGTATAAATGAAAATAAATTGCTCTGAAAATTAAGAAGAGCATCAACAGAAGCATTTTTTGTTTGTTTATATTTTCAACTAGAACTGCTGTGTATTAATTGCTCCGAATTAAAGTGTAGATTTCTTCAGGTAAAGGATATTAACTCCCACTGAAAGTATTAGTTAGATAAAAGAAATGAAGCCTTTGCTTCTGGATTACCAACATAATTAGCCAGTATCCAATGCCCTGGAGGTGATCCACAGCCTGCTTTTCTCAGATCTATAAGGAAACGTCTTGGAGGTCTACAAGCAATCTAGTTTCCATGGCTGAGGACTAAGATGATGATGTGACCAAAGATTTAGGTCCATAAATCTAACAGTACAGTGTTCTTAGTTTGATTTAGGGTAAATCTTTTCATAGAAAAAGTTTTGAGCCAGAATATACAATTCTCCATCTTTTTCCCGAACTGCATGTGCTCTGACAAACTGAAATTGCTCCAGTGCAAATTCATAGAACTCATTCTCCATTTTCCAGATTTCAGACTGTTGTAGCTTGGCAATAGTTTCTTTTGTGGGAAGTTTTTTCTCAGTTGTTTTCCTAAGATGAGACTTCTTTCCTAAATGCAAAATGAAAGCAATAACTTCACTTTAAAGTTCACGTGATTAAAAAAATGTTTTCAGTCCTTTTATTTACAGAGTTTTATACTCTCAGCGTGCTGATAAACTGCATCAGAAGTGACAGAATTTAATCCAGAATTTATTAACATAACATGCGGGATTGGAAAATTGCAGTCTCTCTCACTAAATGTTAATGAATTTTGCATCAGTTCTTTCAGTTCTTTCTCCTTACTCTGATAAACCCAGGGAATGAACACTTCATTTAAGGAACACGATTACTCTACAGAATGTACTTGGAGCAAGACTGGTCTTTCAAAATTAATTATTTAGATGTTAATCTGGTATCAAATGTTAAGAATTTTACAAACTGCAGAGAATGAGACTTCTTTCATGAGACAAAGATGACCAAAATGACGACAGCATTTTCCCTAAGAAGTGCTACCTGTTGCTTTATAATAAACTTGTTAATACTACACATCTAGGCTCCATATCTCAGACCCTTTTCTCCCTCTATTTGCAGACAGAAGCCCTGCTAAGATGGACCTTTTCTTCATCATAAGTTGCATGGCCAGCTCCTAGAAACTGAGCTACCAGCTATATAACAAATGTCTTATTATGACCCCAGGAAGATAAGCATGTACTTGGGCCTTTGTATCCCTTGGGGCTTTTTGCACAGCCAACCAGGTTGCATCAAGCATAGTTAATTTCAGCAGGGCTTCTGAGGAAATGGAAATCTGCCACTACCAACCATTTTACAAAACTAAAGCCCCTGCAAGACCTTTCAAAACTGTTCTGATAAGCACATGTCACAATTTTTTTAAGTGTGCCTACACAACTGCCTTTACCCCAACCTTAAATATTTACAATTTGTGTAAGGCAGGAACATACTTGGGCTGCCCTCAAAAATTTGTACTGAGTTAAAGAGTTTGTCTCTTCTGCAGGAACATCAGCCAACTGAGAGGTAAACCTGGCAGAGACTCAAACTATTCATCTAGGTCTAAAGAATTCACATTAAAAAAAGTGATAAGAGGATAAAAAAAATCCACGGAATCCATGGAAATCAACCATTTAAATACCTGTCCGGTACAGTTCTGTAGCACCCCTGAAGAACCGGGGCAAAGCTGCCTCCAATAACATGATAAAGTCTTCAAGCTCTTCAGTAACTCCCACTAGGAAGTATTCATTAATCAGATTGTATTTGGCTTGTTCCAAAGCCCATCTGCTTCCCACATTCCTAAAATGACAGAGAATAATTACAGCAAGTTCTGATGTCAGCCAACAATCCTTGGTCCCTAGATGGACATTACTTCGTAAGAGGACATTTGTATAGGAAAGGCAAGACTCATTTCAAGTTATAACCATTCCTAACTTCGTTTCCCTTTCCAGTTTCTCTTATCTGTGTTCTTACCTAAAAATTTGACTCCTCTAGTTATTTCGACTAATAACTCATCTACAAAAAAATCCACGTGTGTATATGGTTACTGTCTCTATTAATGCAATTTTTGGAGGATATACGTTTTCTCAATGTCAATACTCAGTCTCCACTTTCACATTAGATACCAGAAATGGTTCTGGTAAGAGCACACCTTCCCTTTTGCATCCTACAAGCATAATTTTGAAGTAGAAAGTCATTGCACTTAATGTGAGGACTTCCCTACTAAACGACAGAGAGAAATTAAACTAACATTTCTTCTTCCTTTTTATAGCTCTAGACAGGGTGAAAAGATAGGTTCAGAGTTCGTTCTTTCTCTGCTTCTCCACCTGGTCCACGTGTAGATAGGTCTGACCCACAGCCACTGAAAGAGGAGCTGCTCGCAACTGGCCATTTACTTTGCTTATGTTTGCATCAACAGTACCTTTGACAAATAATGGCCCTTGATTTCACTCAGAATCCTTCAAATCATCTATGTCCTTTTTCTTTTTTCTTTTTTTTTTAGTTTGCTAAAGAGTTTTTCAAAGTCTGTGCCATTGTTATAAAACATGCTGCATTGACAGATGGACGCTATTTGCTTTTGTTTCGGTTTCTACTAAATAGCATTGACTACTGGATGTCTAGTAAAGGTTCAAGAAGATATAAATTTATCCTGATCTCAATTATTTTATTCTCCCCAGAAACTCTAGGAGTTTGAACACAATATCCCCTTTAAGACAGATATTGTAGCCTGACATAAAAGAAAAATGTCAAGGCTCCAAATCTACAAAAATTATTTTTAAAATTGAAAACATCTGTTTTCCCTTGTAGCACTGCTGATACAGTATCCTAACACATTACTTGTTTAAAGAACTGCAAGACTGTGTCACTAAAATGCATCTTCAAAAGAAAATACATTACTAAAGTACCTGCTGCTTCACTCTGTCCAGTCCCTCACACTTTCCCCAGCTGTGCTACATATTCAAATTTGTTAAGTTTAGATTTCAGTGCTGACATACTTGACTAACAACTCTAAGCTGCATTTATCTCCCTACCAGCATTCGGAGCTGTGGCCACAGAAGAACGGAATTTGAAGCCAAAGTTTCTCTGGAGCACAGTCTGACCCTCCAGCTGCCACACATTCATCAAAGGTCTGGAACAAAGACAAAATTGAGCTGAGCTTTAAAATCTAGTATATGTATCAAACATCTCAACCTGGTTAGTTGCTAAATGTAGTAGGGACAGAAAAACACAAGATATGATGTGAAAGAAAAAAAAAAGTAATGTTTTTCAAGTCTTGCTTTCACAGTGTTATTAGGAGGACCTATTTGTCTTAATTAAAATTGTATTTGGACAGTCTTTTATGATTAGAACTAATGAACAATTTGATCTTACCTGATATGTTTGATATACCTTTGATATAACCTTGATAAAAGCTATATGTCAAAACAAGCAAAACCAATCAATAAGTTATTTTTCCCTTACAAAAGAAGTCACTAAAGATACAGCGTCAAATGCCATCAGTATTTGTGTGATACTGGAACAGCTGGATCTTTATACCATAGAACACTGTGCATTTTGTGTTTTAGATTAAATAATATTCCATTACATTTTAAATATTATGACAAATAACTGCCATTTCAGAGGCCAATTTGGTTTTGGCAATCAGAAGAAGTGAAAGCAAGTTGTTCACTGCATAACAGAATATTCCATACAACATCGCTCTACATGGATAGACAGCTGTAGCAACACAGAGTTTCAACTGCAGTAACACAGTTACAATAAGAATGCCATTAGCATTGGAAAGAATTTGTAAATATTTTACCCAGTCACCATAAAGTAAGTATTTATGATATTTCTAATCAAGATGTAAGCCATGTATCTAGGATAGATTTTTTTAAAATTATTTAATAACAAATAAGTAATCACATAGACAACTTTTTAGACTCTTTCTTCTGTATAATTACAAGCTTCTGTCCAAAACAACTATGTAAAAATACATCTGCTTAATTATTCGGTGTTAGAACAAGGACAACGTCCTTTGCTTCTATTTTGAGGTCAAGTTCCTGAGATAATCTGAAAAACTTATTCATATCAGGCCAAAGCACGGATTAACCTGTGGTGTCTTGGTCCACATTGCGCTTTGAGTTTAGAATAGCTCGTACATGTCACATATCACAGATAAAAATGCAGCTTAACTATGAAAACAAGACATTGGCATGCTTTCTCTAGCGTAGTTCTCTAGAGAAATTCTGCACTGATCTATCATGAGTACTTTATAACATCAGCATTACCTAAGAATTAAATTGTTTAAATACACCTCCTAACTTACGAACGTATATACTAAATATGAACCGACATCTGTCAAAAGAAAGACTTCTTTGCTTATACCTGCAGGTTATTTTATAGTTAATACACAAAAGCAAGCAAGTAATTTTCTAAGTAAGATGAAATAGGACAGGCCTCCTTCCCCTCTTCCTCTTATATACTTACCCTATCTACTCCATCCAGAGATTTTATTTTAAGAAACATTTGTCTCTACAGACTCTATTCTTGGAGCCAAGCTATCTATAACTTTGGAAGCACAGGGATATAGAAAGAAAATGAATGAAGCACTCTTCCATATAAATGCTGTGGTATAGACTAGGAGGGGGCGAGGGTGTAAAGTATGTTGAGATTCCTTTCCACTTAATAAAGAAACAATTAACTTCCATTAGAAAGACTGCATTTTTGACCTTCCCTACTTTTCATTTGAAGAGCTCTTAGTGAATCTGCTATAACACAGATTAGAATAGATATCAGGGTTACTGAATTTTATATCTAACATATGTAAAACTGACACCACCTATAGATGTACAGTTTTCTTGGAAACACCGTGGGAAAATAGTATTACCTGATTTAAATGAAAGAAACCCTAAAACTTGGCATAGCAAATCAATTTCACTTCAAATGAACTAGAGATGCTTATAGGACAAGTTAAATCTGTATGGCAACAACTAAGTCTCAGACCTAAAGCAGTATCATAGTGACAAAATGAAAAAAAAAAAGCATCTTTAATAGAAAAACATAAGATTATTAATGCAATGCATTACAAACATTATAAATAAGAATGCATTTCAACTTCACCCTGCAAATCAGAGCTTACAGTGCAGTCTACCAAGCAGTAGCATTAGAGATTTTGGCTTAATGTTTCACAGTGACTACCTAACAGGGCTGTTCAGATTATAATTCAAAACTACAACAACACTGTTAAATTTCACTCTCTTTCATAGGTATTAAGTCCTATAACAGCTTGGACTCAGTAGCATGCTCAGCTTTCCAACTCATGATCTCCACCAGGAAGGAATTCCGCTGGCCAAATCATGCTCCTCATGAAAAGGAACAGAGTAGGTCACAAAAGATGAGATCCTATCTCTTTTCTTAAAAATGCCTTCATGATACCATATCACCATATCATCTCTGTAGCCAGTTCTATGAAGATACATTTTTTTTTTAAGCTTAATTTCAATTTGTTCTGCTTGAAGCTTTCGTCTACCTATGCTGTAGGATGTCTGAATAAACTGAAATGCAGTAGCAGAAGATGGCGCCAAAACCTAAATAACAGAAGAGCAGTTAGTTATCAGCTGGGAAGAAAAGAGGAATGGTCTGTTGCCCATATCTAAAAAACATTATTTGGATGAGGGGAGCACACAAAATGATTAGTCACATTTATTAGTTGTTATGGTGTTTATGCACTAAGCTGCATTCAGTCTGATTTTTGCTTAGTTATTTTTTCAATGTCTCTTGGCATTCACACAGTGCTACACTAAATTGTCAACATTACAGAAAAATTTCATCAGCATAAGAAAATATTGCCACTGAAATTTTAAAAAGCGTTTGGCTCTGTGAAGTACAAAACCCCCTTATGTTTTATAAATGCTTCTGCACTGTTATAAACTATATCCATATAGTTAATACTCTACTTTTCTTCCTGATTCAAGAAAAGTCCAAAAACAGACATGCTCCAACAAATGTCTTACTGCAAACCATGACAGCGGCTGTATAAATTCTTTCTGGAATAAATATATTATAAAGCCTAAATGATGTTGCCATTCTGAAACTGTATTAGTAATCAAGGTTTGAATATGCTACCCTGAACTACTCCTATAGCCACCTAAGACAGACGGAGGAAGTATAAAACTATGACTCATACTCCATAGTTTTCAAGCAGACGCTTTATACAATTCCATTGCAATATTTGCATTAAAAAAAATAAATTGGGTTGCTAATTATAAAAAAAAATAAACTTCAAAGCCAAAGTATCAGCAGTTCTACAGCTTTTGGGGAAAAAAAAAAAGTATCTCAGTCTTCAACAAGAAAACATGGAGATTTCTTACATAGGAGAATAAGTTTAACTTGATACTTACAACTCTGGAAACCTGAAAACCTTTTTTTTATATTATTTGATTTTTTTACCAAATTGCAACATCAAGTGCATTTATAAGGTCACAAAGAACATACTTAATGTTACACCTTGGTCCAGTACGGACATGAAGGGAAGAATATAACTTACAAAGCCACCATCATCACCAAGGTTGATACAAGAACTATTCAGCTTTTATCAGGACATTTTTTAAAATTATTTTCACATTAACTTTAGTAAGAACAACGTATATAGTAAAGTGTACTTTACCTTTTTATCCCCCTGTTTTCGCCTCCGTAGCCCTGGTCTGTAATCATCTCCAAAGCGCAGAAAGTAATAATAAGAAACTAGTCGTTCTATAGGATCTCTTATGACATTTATGTAAATTGGTTTCTTTTTAACACCAAATCTAAAGTAAAAGAGGAAAAAATGTCTTTTAGAGGCCAAATCAAAGCTTCTCATCTAATACTTGAAAGCCTGTCTCTATTGATACAACTGAAATATGTATATATATACACACATATATATATTTACATACAGAGAAGATGGATCCTCATATCCAGTGCCTCATGTGGATGTGAAAGTCAGTTCAATTTCAGTTTTCCTAAGATTGTGATTTTAGGGCTTTTTTATGAGAGAAACAAACAAAACTGAAATACTCTTACACAATAGATACTAAAAATGTTTATACAACCATCCTGACTCTAGAAATGCCTTAATTAGTTAGCAGCCACGTACGTGTTTACAATAAGTACAAGGGAGTTTGATAATGAGTTCCTGCCCTCCTGCACTGTGCTGTGCAATGCTGCAAGTGGTTTTCCTGGCAGGTCTCAGTTGTCAGACGTGAACTCTAACAGAAGGAAGACAGAGCTCAGAGCCCATCCATTACCTGGGTTGAATCCATATGACTGTGCTTATTAAATATAAGCCTAAGATAGTACCTGTAACCATATTAACTTCTCTATTTAAAGATATAAAATTTTTCCTTTGACTTTTACCCTACGCAAATTTTGACTTACTGTGGTACAAACAGGAACCTTGATGAAATGAGGTGGTAAGCTCATGGGACACATGAGAAAGATTTAAACCAACAAAACTGTTTTGTGCAAATGCTACCTTTCAATGATCTACATTCAAGACAGCTTTTATGATACATTTCTCGGTTTTATTTTCTTTTCCATTTGAGACATTACTGTGGCAAATAAATATGGTATCCAAACATTAAAGAGGTTATATCACAATAGAAATTGCAAGTGTGTCAAGTGCCCTGAAGTAAAGCTAGGAGCTGGAAAAAAAATTCTCTTCTGTTCCCATGCAAACTGGGAAAGTGTTCTGCATTGACAGAGGGCCATTCAAGCCTCCTAGCTCGGCTAAAACAGAGAGCACTCGTAGTGTTAAGATGCAGTACCGTTACTGTTAAAGTGGTACTCCGTAAGTTATAATACCAGATACTGCTCATATCAGGAATCTTAAGTTGAAAAGCTGAAGAACAGGAACATAGAATAAGCAGCAGAAAAGAGGAAGTTAGAAAAAAACCAACAACAACAACAAAAAAAACAATTAAAAGGCATTACTTTGGCAAAAGACCAGCACTACAGCTACAGAAATTGTTAAAGGCTACAGAAAGAGCAACTGATTCTTCAGATGTTGCCAGCAGAGTACGAGTGAATCAGACTGTAGCAGTTCGAGGCGGCATTGCCGACATCTGTCTGTATGCCAGCTCTTACTCCCCAAAGTCTGCAAAATAGGAGTGTGTGAATGTTTCAACCATTTTGATGCAAAGTGCAGACTTTGAATTGCACCCTCTTTCAGGTCCACTGAAGTGCCTGAGCCATGCACATGTGTCCCCTTCTACAGACTCTACTGCAAGTGCTGTAGAAGGCTGTAACAAACTGTTTTGATATAGTAGCAGCCTCAACCAATAACATGTACCTGTGAGTTAAATGAAGGTGTCAAAGCCCCTGGAAACGTTTGTGCTGGACTGTACATTCATATGGATTTGCACATGACCTCGCAAAACTAGCTTCAGTTATGATAACATAAGCCACTTACTATTGTAACTTTATTAATAATGACAATGATTTAGCAAATGCATTTTCAAAGAACTTTTTTTCCAACCATTTACCAGAGAAAATAAGGAATAAGGGTGGATCAGAGATTAAAAAAAAAAAGGGGGGGGGGGAATTAACTTTTATTACTATAATTTCTACATGGATGAGTTATGATAACCTGTCCTCAATACTGTAAGTCATCAATTGAATCCAGTACTTTAAGCTTCAGCATAATTTAAGAGGTACTTCAGATATTTGACAGCAGACCTAAGTCTGATGTCTGCGTATAGCAGGCATAGACTTTTCTGAAATATTTTACACTTCTCAACTACAAGAATGTTCACTACAAGAACATACCTCACAGCCTTAAAACTGTGGGCCTTGCCAAGCACAACCAGAGTATTCAAGATATTATTTTAATAATGAAAACCCAAAGAATGAGAAAGCAAGCTGTTGTGGGCAAAAAAATAAATCATTTAGGTGAGTGGATAACACAACAAACACAAGGATAACACTCCTGGAAGGAAGATGCAGATGAAAAATCTGTGAAATTGCTTAGATGCTTTCTAGATGTAAAATAATTATTTTAGTTTTAAAAGTTCCAGTATCTGAAAATGTTTTCAGCTTTATGAAGTGATTGGTGTATAAAATAACATTCACCTTTGCTGTTCCAGAAAGCTGTTATTCAGTTTAAGGGTTTATTAATGTTGCAGCATTTTAACTTTAAAAAGGCAGAAAGAAAGCTAATGAAATTTGATACATTTTATTTTATTGATTGATTTGCAATTAAGGCTTCTTGCCTGTTACTTTTTGTAAACTTCAAGCTTTTACTTGGTGCCATTGGTAATTTCCAGCTACTACTGTAGCTTTTAGCATTTTCTATTATATAATATACTGTACTGGGAATCTATGAAGCTCTTACTTCCCCTTCCCATTCTTTGTAATAAAAGGCTAGAATTAAAAATCAGTGTACATAACAGAATGAATAATTAAAAGCAATGACTAAACAAAAGAAATTCTTAGACACAAAAACCTCATTTCATTAAATAAATGTTTTAATACACAGAAACAGAACATTACTGAGGACTGACCAGCAGCAAGAGGTAAAAGCAGTGGTTACTATTGTTTGTGCAGTCGAATATGCTGAGATCTGAAAAATCCACTTTAAATTTTGAACCATTCTCCTCATGCTGCAAGTGAAGCACTTGCCAGTAAGCATCTTAAGCAAAACTGACTTGCCAGTTCAAGGGGAGGTTTCACAAGACTGAGCTACTGAGGATTACTGCTTTAGATCCAGAAGCAAAAATAAGACAAGAAAGGAAACACATGGAAGCAGGAATACAGATAGGATCCTGAACCTTTGAAGTCACTGGGAGGATTTTTAACTTATTTTCTTTTAAATTAATTTTAGAAGTAGCAGGATTTATCTCCACAAGAATTATTTCAATGCTTTTTACAGCAAGTCAAATTACTATAGGCCAGAAAACTACTTTAAAATAACTTTTAATATTTTGATAAGCTGTAAAGGTATACTCTGATAGAGAAGAACTACATAACTTAAGAGGCAGGTGGTATTACTTGTTATATGCAACATATTTGAGAACAGGTGTGCTGGTTTTGGCTGGGATAGACTTAATTTTCTACATAGTAACTAGTATGGAGCTATGTTTTGGATTTGTGCTGGAAACTGTTGATAACACAGGGATGTTTTCATTATTGCTGACCAGGGCTTACACAGAGTCAAGGCCTTTGACTCAGCATATAAAGCTGGGGGAAGAACAAGGAAGGGGGGGACATTTGGAGTGATGGTGTTTTGTCTTCTCAAATAGCCCTTATGTGTGATGGAGCCCTGCTTTCCTGAGGATGGCTGAACACCTGCCTGCCAGCGGGAAGTAGTGAATGAATTCCTTGCTTTGCTTTGCTTGCGTGCGCAGCTTTTGCTTTACCTATTAAACTATCTTTATCTCAACCCACGAGTTTTCTCGCTTTTACTCTTCCCCATGCCATCACACCGGGGGGGAGTGAGTGAGCAGCTGTGTGGTGCTTAGTTCCTGGCTGGGGTTAAACCACGACAACGGGTATGTTAAACTTCCCAGAACAGGAAGCCAATCCTAAGGCAGAACTGCCAGTGTTCCAGAGAAAAGCCAGGATTTTCAGTATAACAAGCTTGTAATTCAGACAAGGAATACTAAACCTAGCATATAAATAGTTTTGAAATGAGACTTGGCTACATTTTTTCATGAAAAAAGACAAGAGAAAACTGTGAAAAATCAAAACCAAATATTGCTCATGATCAGAATTTCAGCGTGTGAATTTTTCAAAACTGCAGTTGTCAGACTTTCATCACTAGAGGGCACTAATATTCCAGCTGGATCCAAGCAACTTAAACTACTATGCTGCTCAACAGATAAATCCAAGGGTAACATACTTTGCAAAGTCCAAATAAGATATATGTCCATGGTAAAATCCTGGTTTCATTTCCTTCCAGGAAGTCACATTCTTCACAAATCGGACCTGTAAAAGTAGACAGCAGAAAGTCTTTCTGTACAGCTGGAACACATTAAGCTTCCCCATACATGGTGTATTCTGGTTTGTAAGTAAAACCTTATAATGCATTAGGAAAAAAGTCTATTTTGAATATTACCAAAGAATTTGTGCCAGCTAAAATAGACTTTTCTGCAAGCATACAGATGACTCATTTTAGATCATCACAATTTAATGATCAAAAACTAAACAAAAGCAGAATACAGCAATCAGAAGGGCAATTCAAGGAAAGCTACCACAAAAACATTAGCAAGACAAACATTTAAATTTTTGTCAGTCCATTTTATTTCTAATTTGAAAGGAATGTGGAATTCCCTCAGCAATAAGTAGAAATGCAAGTACACCTTTGATGGAATTGTCTGATTTAGTCCCTCAACTGAAGTGTACCAGATTTACAAGCATGTCTTAGACCTATTTTACTGGGACATAAGAAACAAATCTGATGGTTCATTTGCTCCCCCATCCCAAAAATGCAATGCATGAGTAATCCAGAAATTTTATAAATGTATATAGTGTAAATTAGATCTATAGTTTACCATTTTGAATAGTTACCTTAAGCCTAACATTTCAGTGAAAAATTCCATGTTAAAGCATGAAGTAGCCCTTAAACAAGGGCTGGTAAAACAGTTATCAGCAAACTTCACAAAAATAGGAATAGCTTTATATTTCAAAGATAAAAACAAAATAAGATAGATGCCCCAAACCAGAAAGTATGATCAAATTAAGTGGGACATGCAAATACTGATATAGCTTAGCTTTATTAGATGAACAGAATATTTTAACATCAAAGCATTTAACTTTGAAAGTTATTTCAAAACTAGTGAATTGGATAATAAAGAAAAGATGATAAATTTGTACTGCCTGAGCTGTCTGACAATGATATGCCATTTCTGAAGCTGAGAATTAGAAGACAGCATTCAGCACACATCTACAATGTCTTTTCTGTTAGACAGTGACATAGATAACCACGAAGATATTGAGGTGAGACAAGAGAGTCAAAAAAGGAAAGTTTGAGAGCTCAAGACAACACACTAACATTCTGTAAGGTCTAACAGATTAAAAGTGTCCTGAAACATGATATTTATTATAACCAACCAACTGAGGATTTTAAGAGGCAAGACTGGCCTGCTGCTGTTTCTTCAAATGTGCAAAACTCACTATCTAGGATTCAAGAGGTTGATAACCTTTAGTTATTTCTTCAAACACTGACTCTTGGACTCTCAGGGAAAAGAAATTTATATTACTTTTCAATAACAGGCATTTATTTTTTCAGTGTACAAGTTTCACAGTCTGTGGCATTTCACAATTTAAACCATATATGAAAATTGTAGCAAATCTAGCTGAAAAGCACTGCACAATGTTAGACAATGGTGTTTCATAAACTGCATTGGCTTTCTGCCTGGTTTTGTCCACAGCACAAACTGATAACGTATCTATGAGACTTTGAATCCAGTTGAACTACCGTTACTGCCTCTGCTACAAGGTTAGCAAATGTGACGCCCACCTACAAGAAGGGCCAGAAGGAGGATCTGGGGAACTAGAGGCCTGTCAGCCTGACCTCAGTGCCGGGGAAGGTTATGGAGCAGATCATCTTGAGTGCCATCACACAGCACATACGGGACAAGCAGGGGATGGGGCCCAGCCAGCATGGGTTTATGAAAGGCAGGTCCTGCTTGACTCACCTGATCTCCTTCTATGACAAGGTGACCCACTTAGTGGATGAGGGAAAGGCTGTGGATATTGCCTCCCTAAACTTTAGGAAAGCCTTTGACAAGGTTTCCCACAGCATTCTCCTGGTGAAACTGGCTGCTCATGGCTTGGATGAGCATACTCTTCACTGGGTAAGAAACTGGCTGGATGGCCGGGCCCAAAGAGTGGTGGTGAATGGAGTTAAATCCAGTGGGCGGCCAGTCACCAGTGGTGTTCCCCAGGGCTCAGTATTTGGGCCACTTCTACAGGCTGGGGCGATGGGCTGATGAGATTCAACAAGGCTCAGTGCCGGGTCCTGCACTTGGGTCACAACCACCCCATGCACCGCTACAGGCTTGGGGAAGAGTGGCTGGAGAGCTGCCTGTCAGGAAAGGGCCTGGGGGTATTGGTCAACAGCCAGCTGAATATGAGGCAGCAGTGTGCCCAGGTGGCCAAGAAGGCCAGTAGCATCCTGGCTTGTATCACAAGTAGTGTGCCCAGCAGGACTAGGGCATTCCCCTGTACCTGGCACTGGGGAGGCTGCACCTCGAGTGCTGTGTTCAGTTTTGGGCCCCTCACTACAAGAAGGACATCGAGGTGCTGGAGTGTGTCCAGAGGAGGGCAACAAGGCTGGTGAAAGGTCTAGAGCACAAGTCTTATGAGGAGCAGCTGAGGAAACTGGGGCTGTTTAGTCTGCAGAAAAGGAGGCTGAGGGGAGACCTTATTGCTCTCTCCAACTACCTGAAAGGAGGCTGTAGCCAGGTGGGGGTCGGTCTCTTCTCCCAAGTAACAAGCGATAGCACAAGAGGAAATGGCCTCAAGTTGCACCAGGGGAGGTTTAGATTGGATATTAGGAAAAATTTCTTCACCAAAAGGGTTGTCAGGCACTGGAACAGGCTGCCCAGGGAAGTGGTTGAGTCCCCATCCCTGGAGGTATTTAAAAGATGGGTAGCTGTGCTGCTTAGGGACATGGTTTAGTGGTGGACTTGGCAGCACTAGGTTAATGGTTGGACTTGATGATCTTAAAGGTCTTTTCCAACCTAAATGATTCTATGATTCTATGAAACAAACCACACTTTCCTTGACTGTACCTTTCAAAGATCAATGATAAAATATTTTCAGTGGAGACCCTCAGCTATGAATATTTCTATACCTGGGAAAGAAGTTCCCTAAATGCAAAGTATATCTTATCCTCCCTTTCCTCATTCCCAAACCTCAAAATGTCACAGTTGGTTGATACAACTCCACAAGTAAACAAGTTATGCTATCTATTGTGTAGTGTAGCACGCATATGAAAGTGTACATTTCAGTTACGTTTCCATCAGATAAGCTTTCTGATGCACCAGCTGGATTTCAGTTTCTAATAGACTAGGACTAGACACACGGAAATGTTAAGTGCAAAATCCCAAGGGTCAGTTCTGTCCTAGATCCCCATGCCACCATCTGGCATCAAACCTTAGATGTTCCAGTAATAGTTAAAAAAAATCCTTTATTGTCTTTGTCCTACAATGTCATTGTCTGCTAAGGAAATAATTTTTATGAACATAGGATGGATGTTCTAGCCTTTTAATAACTTTAATGCCAGGCAACCTAAAAGAAGGCTAGGAAGGTTTTGTAAGACAGCTGTGACATTTACATCTGCCTTAAGATGGACCAGCAACATGCTGTGCCCCTGAGAATTTAAAGTTTTTAACACCTGTAACTAGCCTGCAGGCAAGAGATTATCCCCTCCCGCCCCTAGTTTGCCGCATTCCAAAAATCAGAATTGTTCCAGGTCACAGATAGCCTAATGAGTCTGGATTCACACATTTTAGGGCAGATGAATAATGCTTGCTGCTTCATACTGTTAAATATGACCAATTTTACCTTTCTTTTCAGGGCTTAGCAAATACTGGAGCTTTCAAGAGACTGAGAAAGCTTCTCCATCTGAACCCAACTGAATAAAATTTGAGGTTACTTTAAAAGTTCAGATAGACGTGAATGGAATTCCTGTGAAGTTGTTTCATAGTGCTTTTATATAATCAACTACAAAGTTGCTTCACAGCCTCTAGTAAGTGAGAAATCAGCTGAGCTTCACTGAATTAAAAAGCCAGATCAAACGTACTCTGGGGGCGTAAGATGTCCTGAAAGGTAAGTTAAATACATTCAGTTTCTAGGACGATAAGAATTTAAAACAACTCCCAGTGAGCCAAAAGGAAAAAAAAAAAACCAAAAAAAAACCCCCCAAAAAACAACAAAACCACACACACCAAACACCAAAAAACCAAAAAACCAAACCAAAAGCCAGCATACTTGGTCTAAGCAAAAAGCCCTGAGAAATCTGTGCATGCAAACCAAAGTGATGTTGTAAGCTGTCATCTCTGTCCACTAACTGCTTCCATCAATCCCTCTTCTCTACAGTCTGAACACACACATACACACTTTCTGCCCCCAAAAGGTGGTATGGTCACCAGCCTGTAGCCTGGTATCACATGGACTACTGGATACCAAAAAAGCCCCAGCTGTTCACATCATTATATTCTAGTTTTGTTTGTTAATTGTTGAATAACTGACTTAAAATTACAAATAACTGGAGGGATGAATATCACAAGCCCAGCCTGGTAAAGACACATGGGGATCTTCCATTTGAACTACAAAAAAAAGGGCTCTCAAGCAAGATTGAAGACCAACACAGTTTCCCCAAGCGTGATGGGATGACTGAATCAGAATCCTCTGCAGGAAGGCACTGGTAGCTTAGCTATCCAAATTGTCATACATGCTAATAACTTACAGTTAGCTCTAAATCAGAGGGTCAGGAACGCTGATAACAGGCTAGCAGCACACGTTTGGCTGCATGACGTAAGAAACCACAAGCAAGCTCAAGGCAAGGGGAGCTGAGAAGCAATTTTGTGAGATGGTGAAAAGACAACAGTTCACCAGTTCAGCCATGAACAGCCAGGATACCCTCCTGGCCTGAACACTTCTTTCTCAGAAGGGAAAATACAATTGGCACATGTACAGCAGTGGACACTAGTACTCACTAGGCCATCTAACTCCAAGAGAAAAATTATTAAATGTTCAGAGGCATATGACACTACTTCCACTTCTAACAGAGTCACTGCAACCTTTTACTTGTTCCACTTCTGACAGCCATTGAAATCTTCACCAGCAGAGGAAATAAGTACTACTAAAGTCAGTAAGAGTATGTTATCCTCTGAGAGGCCACTGTTTCAGAATACATTTGGAAGCAAGATTATATATTTTCAGGTTGCTTTTTTGAGAAAAAAGGAGAGAGAAACTGCAGGAGAAAAAAGAACAAGGAACAGAAAACAGCAAGCCGAGGTAGTGAAATGCTGGATAATTGTGCCGTGGCTTTTCTATGTTCACAACAGTACAGAGAACATGTTCTCATACCCCCTTTTCTAATAATATATCAAGAACACATGCTGCAAGGTAGAACAGTAGTTTAGTTTTAAATATTTTAGATGACAATTTCACCATGTAACAAAAAAGCTAAAGTTTGTGTGGCTGGTATGCCATCCAACTAGCCATAACACAGGCATACTTGTATGGACAAAAAGTATCAGTACTGAAACATGCAAGCAACAAATAAAACCCAACCAAACAGCTACTCTGATTTAATGAAAGCAAGTGGTTTTGTTACAGACCACACAGGTCAGAAATGCAACATGGGCAACATGGCACTCAGCTTGCTGCAAAGAAAAGGCCCAACCTGTGCAAAGAAGGGCAGTTCCCAGGATCCTGCTGTCAGAGAAGCTGCAAAAGAAAGGAGGGCTGTGGGGACAAGTTCCATCTGAAACTAAAATGGATGTGTTAAGGACTTTTACCGGATTATCTCAAATCAGACACAGATTATACCTGGCGTGGACTTTAAATAGGCTTTTTTTGAGATTGCATTCAAGAAGTAAAGGTTTCACATATGGGCAGAGAACTTAAAATCTGTTACAGAATCAGAATAGTTTGGAAAAAGTACAGCAGAAAGAGTGCATAACAGAGGGCTTACACATTTATGCCAGGCCCAAGACAATCTTCACCTTGCTTAGGGAGATTTGTTTTAGTAAACAGTATCACTGATAAAACAATTCTGTCTATGATGTATTTATGTATTTTACTACTGGTGCATATACACCTAATGCACTCAAGTCAGCTACACTGATGAAGGTGGCATGTGAATATTTCAGGCACATCCAAGCCCACAAAGAGTAAACCTACATCAGCTACTACTCAGCACTCTCACCATCTCCAGAATTACGTCATATGACTTGCAATGGCAAGTTACTATCTTGATATGCTAAAGATTAATTATTTCTTCTTCTTTGAACACCTGTGCAATATATAAAGTTTTTCATTGTCACCATCTCCCAGTTAATGGCCACTAGAGAAGAGGAGTATCAATTGTGTAATTAAACAACATAAGTTACCACCCGGGACAATAGCATAGGATCACATCAATGTAGGACTGCTAGTATTGTATACGTGCCCAGCATTGATGGATTTTCATTTTCAGTAGCTAATTATTTGAGGGAAGGTGAGGAGGAGAGGTTCTCTTAGGCAAAACTAAGCCAATAAAGAACAAATTTTATTTGAATGAAATTCAAGCAAAAGTAGTAATTTATGGCAAGGTTGCCTATGTTTAATTTATACCATCAATGACTAGCTCTCCTATCCTTCAGGACAGACCACTACAATTCAAAGAGACACCTTGACAGAAACAGAATGTGTGTTTGGAAGTGCAGCACTAAGTATGACTGATTTGAGCAGGATTTTTAATTAAAAAAAATATAGGCTTGTTAATTCTTTTGCAAAATCACTCTGCTGTTGGTGCATAGGTCTTTAGTACTTGTTCTGCGCAGTGGATAGGAAAATAGGGGTAGCTACCAGATTTACTCTTAGTAATCTCAGTAATCATGTATGACAATATCACCTTCAAGTTTAGGAAAAGATTTCACAACAGCAAAAACCCAACAGCAACACAAGCCCACTATTACAAAACAGGTTCCCAGTCCCACCCCAAGAACACTCTATGTCCCCTGCACTGAGATCCCTACCTCAATCTTTCTCCCACATACAGAACTGAAAGTGCAGGGCCCGTTACCATCTGCTTCCCTTTGTCCCACTCCAGCAGCTGTGCTGAGCTGCTTCTGCCTGTCAGCATGCACTTAAAGGAGCCGGAAGCCTCAGCGCTGTCATGCTGCAATGCAGAACAGCTCCTGCCTCTACTGCATATCAACTTAAGATGATCAGCATACAACTGGTAGTACATACCTGAGAGTTTGGAAACATTTGTTTACAGACAGGGATGATGACACAGTGACATTTCAGACCTCTGACCTCGGTTCCTTGCATGTGCGCCCACAAAGAGCAAAGAAATATTTTAAAAAGTCAAACAAAAAATTTAACTCCCTCACCGCACCTCACTCCAGGAAAAACAGAGCATTTATCCTCCATCATCTTTTTTTAATACTCATCATCTAATGTAGTGGTAGCCACGATCGCTTCTACCCTGGGACTACACTGATTTTAGCGACAGCTTTAAGTGGGTGCAAAGTGACCCATCCTCTGGAGTGCAAGCTATTTGCAACCACTTCTTTCTACCTGTTTTTTATCACCTGTGAGACCTGAGCAGACCTAGTACAAAAGACAGAGGTATAGCCCTGACAGCATGGCACAGTGCCTGCACTACTCAGAGAGGAAAGCACATAAGACTGCATTCACTGCAGATGGAGATGACAGGCAAATATTATTGCACAGCCAAAAGGGAGACAGTTGACAATACAATCATCTTTTACAGTTGTAACAACAAAGGTAATTTCTGCCCTAGCTGTATCCCTTTTTAGCTTTGTTTTTGTCTGATAAACAGATACTTACCACCTGCAGTAGCCCAGCAAAAACGTAAACCTATTATTTAATAAATAATACGAATTCTCTACAAAGAAAATATAAACACGTTAGAATTCATTTATATTGGAAAATGTGACATAAAAGCCAATTTCATCAGACCATATAAGTTTGCAATAGCAAGAAGTTTTCTATACTTTCCCCTTGTTTAATAAAGGCATCCCAAATGCAGCAGCTTACCTGATCTTGCAGAGACATAACAGGATTATTTTTGGTTGTATTGATATGTAGAACATGGTATTTGTTCTTCGCACAAAGATCATAGGCAATATTTGTGAAGGATGTGCTGGCAGTCTTAGGTACTCTGTTGTAAATAATCACCACATCATCTTCTTCATCCACTGTCACATCTTGTCGAGGGCCATCTACTGTATGACGTTGTTCTATTTCTCTGACTTCATGTCTTGCAATAGCCCTTTCTGTTAAGGATGACAAATACAAAATCTTGATGTAAATACCACCAATTTTGAAGTTCACACTTAGTCTGTTAGTCTGACACAGAACACGAAGACCAGAATACAATATACTTAGGGAACACATACTGTATTCTATGACACATGCTAATGTTACTGAAAGCCATTGTCTCTAAAGAAAAATGTCTATAGAGTGCTATCAAAATGGTGACATCCCCAAAATATCCCAAATAATTTCTATAGAACAACTATTTTAAAATTATAATAAAAGGAATAACTCATGCAATTTGGAGAATATGAATTTTCCGAAAACAGTAGCAATACTAACTCTAGAGATTTAGTCAATTAACTGTGCAGAGGCACTGGAATTCAGATGAAACTATTGTTTTGTTATTTCAACTGATACAAGCCCAAGCGTAAAGCATTACAATAAATGTGTCTGCAAAAATTCAATTAGATTTATTAATTTCAACTTTAACAAGAACAGAAGCAAGAGGTGCTTACGAAACAGTTAACATTAAGGTGAAGAGTGATCTCTGAGAACTGAAATACATCAAATACATCATAAAAGAAAGAAACATGGAAAAGCAAGCTATGAACAAGACATTTTGGCAAGGTGAGTATATTGCAAATAAATCGTTTTTCCCTTTTATACAAAGGGCAATACTCTGGGTAATTGAACTCTGCTTCAAGTGCTAAAAGCCTATTTGGAAAATAAAAACCACAGTATTACTTTTTTTTTTTTTTTTTTTTTTTGCTACTGCTGAATATCAAATACTTTGTGCTGATTCAGACACAGCTTTGTTCTGTTCTATATAAGTATATACTTTAATACGATTTGTAATACAGATGTCAAAGCATCTTTTCCAATTCATTTATTGTGATACTGCCTTTAATAATGTATTCACAGAAATCTGCGTTGGCCAGCAGTTCAAGCTGAAGTTGGTATACAAGAGCAACCTGTAACTCTCTGTATTATCTTCTTACACAGGGTATAGCTCTTTCTGGATGACGCGCTTTTAACAGCAGCAGCTCTTGGCCTTTACTTCCCTTGCTTCCTGTAACCCAGCTCCTTCTATTCTCTTTCACCGTGTCTCTTTAATTGTAACATAAAATCACTTTTAAAGCAGAATCATTAAGCTGTGAACACCACTAGCCTGTAATTCCACATAAATTGTCTTCAACCACAAACTTCCATCTGTCTGAAATGCTTCAAAGCCTAAATGCACTCACTCTCTCATATGCTCGTATCTCACACCCCATAACTAAGTTACATCAGTATGAAAATGTTTGTAGAAAATGCTTATTGAGTATATCTCAATTTTCCACATGACATCTGTTGCTCCCCACTACATCAGTCACAGTTTTTGCTCCTTCCTTTCTCATTTGCTACCTCTCCCATCACTGCTGGCAAACGTCCTATTTTGGAAAGAGATGAGGCAACAGACTCAGGTTTCATCTATCTAGAGATGGCTACAACAAAAAGGCACTGGCAACTCTCTCCTTCCTGCCAGTAACAGATTAGAGGAAGCATTTAGCATTTGGTAGGGGACATAGTTAACCACATGGCTGCCCAAGGCTACGTGGATACTGAATACCACCTAGAGAGGCTGAAATGAAACAAATTTATTTTGTATTTTCTACACCAGAGTAGCAGATCTCAGCTAAATTTGAATCGTAACTGTACAGAACTCCAGGGCTGATGAGGCTGGCTGCTGTGGAGGGAAGCCTCCCCTTTTACATGTAAGAAGTAAACATTTGTGAGAAACAGGCATGATTTGCAAGAAGAGTGATGAAAAGTGTTCCTCTAATGAGGTATTTGAAACCATGATGATCCAAGAATTAACGTGACAAGTGCACTTTAAAGGCTATGCATAAGATATAAAAGATGTATGATTAGATGCAATTAGCAGAAAGGCTATTGCATACAATCACCTTCAACTTTTTACAGTGAGAGAACGCATGCAAGGAGGAGAAGCTTCACAAGTATGAAGTACACAGACAGTTGCATTATCAAAGAATACGGAGGCTTTAAACTTCAAATTAAAATGAAAACTGATCTTTATGATGAAGAACTGAAATCACCTTTTTGAAATAACTGCAATAGTTAAAAAACAAAAGCTGGGATGAAGTGCAGGATATAAACGGCTGAAGTGCAAAGGAAGCTAAAGCTAGTGAGAAGCAGATGAAGCACCTGGAAGCGTCTACCCTGGTCAGCCATCCTTATGGCCTAGTTCATTGTAGTCTATTAATAGGACAACGAGGAAAACTGCAAGTTTTGTAAAAACGCACATTTTTTTCCAGTCATGAACAGTTTTTAATTTTTCCTGTGAAGTCAGGAAGCTTTTTTGTTACTTTTTGAAAATTCAGTTTAACTGTTAAATGACACGTGATCTGATCCGTATGAATTTTATTTATTTATTTATTTACTGGGGGAGGGGGAAGAGGTCCTGTAATGGCAACATGCAACTCTGACTAGTCTTTGGGATAACTATGTTAATCAGGAGTCAGAGAATTTGAGGAGCTGATGAGCATTTGATTAACTACTTCATTTGCTCTTCTGTAAAATTTAAATCATTCTGGAAGTAAAAGTCCTGTAATGGTTGAAAAATGAACATTGCTTATATGTTTTTAGAAGTACAGTAGAAAATGCAACGTATGCTTTAATAACTTTTTACATGTGGAAGATAGGGAGGAAGAAGATGCTAGGTATTTATTAAGTATATTTTGTCAACAAAAGTCTTTTCGTAGGTGACAGCCCTGCAATTTTAACTTTGATTATGAGAACTTGTCTATGTAAGGTTGGATTGGTTTCACTGAAATCAATTAAAAAAAAAAATCAGATTAGGTCATTTTTTTTTTTCCTATCAGAGATCCTGTGGACAAAGCGATGACCTACAGTCTCGTTGCTTTCATTACATTCTATTTAAACTTGATTTTGTAAGAGAAACATCTAGGCATAATTATTAAGAGCCAAATGTCTGGGTTAAGACTGTCCACACTAAGTTTTACTCTAATTAACTAAATCAATTTAAAAAAACAAGTAGCATTTAAGTAAGTGGTACTTTGAATACAAGACAGTTTTTCACAGTAATATAATACGTGATAATTTTAAGGCATAAAATATTCTGTCTCACACTTTTTTATTACTTCCTGCTTACATTCACTGTAATGAATAATATAATTACTTTACAGTTGGGAAAAATGCTGTTTTGTCATCTGCAGTTGTCCTATGTGCAAACTTTCATCAACTGCAAGGACAGTTTGCACTCAGGCAGTACCATATATGATCAGCATAATAAAGGTTGCTACAGCGGTTATTTACCAGCAGATGAATTATTTGCAGAAAGTCCTCGGTTGGCAGAAGTAGTTGTTTTGTAAATAACAGAACAAGCTTATTTTCTCATCCATTTGTTACGTGTTCTTTGCAATCCTCCTTTATCCCATTTCTGTAACTGCCAGCATCCTTCCCATGACTTATATTTCTTGAGCCATCCTCTTGCAGCAAAAACCCATGTCTGGTATACCAGAAAATAACATATAATGGGCAAGTTATGTCTTCTCCTTCAGGAGAACTACTGATAGCAGATCTGTATGCCACCACTTGATTATGGAAAAATTTGAAATTATTTATCTTCAAGATCGCTGCCCTTTCAAGTCAAAGCAGTTTATCAACTTGGAGAGAAAAGGACAGACCAAGTTTGATTGCTTAGCCCTATTTTATTAGGGTCTCAACTAATAAAATCACCTGTGAAGACGCACTAGACACGTACATACCTATAAAAATATTTGAAAACCCAACTGAACAATATTTACATAATTACAGAAACAAATCACCCAACTGAACAATAATTATAGAAACAAATAACTGTGATCATAAGCAGTTATTTGTCTACATTCCTTGCACATTCAAACAGATGAATGTCTTAAAAAAAAAAGTTTATTAGCATTTACTTCAAATCTGAGTGTTAACTGCATACAAAATATTACCTTCCGAAACAAAATAGAGTGGGCATGGATTTTAACAACTTAAAGGTTAACAAAACCAAATATTTCAAATTCTTTACATTTTTCACAGAAGCACAAGAACCTCCTGGGATTTCTTAACAAGAAAATCTACCAAAACCAGAAACTCTTCTTTTGCCTATAGCTTAGCACTTACCACTCTTGATAAAGGATACATTTTGAGCCCCACTGACTGTCAAAGTCAAGTTAACTGAGCATCTGGAAGAATAATTCAGAGCATACTGCCCCACTTCCCCAGACTATGCTCTGTCCTCTCCGTCTACTTTCCTTCTGTATGCATCTATGGATACTATTTAGACTCTCTCTTCAATATGTCTTATGTGCCTTCCATGCTTCCTTGTGAAACCTCCCACTCAGATGAGAAAAGGCTCAGTCTTAAATTTTAGCTCAGCAGCCCTCAAGTGTTGCCCAACAGAAGAAAAAGATGTCAATTCAAACTTTACTCACACTGACGTGATGCGAAGAAACTGGACAGCTAGTATTGATAGCACCAGCCCTGAGCATACAGTTGCTGTATATCTGCGACAATGGATGCCACTTCAAACCAATAAGCAGGTTTCTTCCAGTTGGGAACAATATTGAAGCCAGGTGACTTGGTGTCTCAGCTTTCTTTCCACTGTGCTCCCAGGCCAATTAGGCAAGCAGCTGGTAGCCTGAGGCACCGAGCAGCTCTCAAGCTGTTTCCCTGCCCAAAAGCTGCATTAAACACGATTGGCCTAAATACTGAACCGGAGCAGGACTTAAAACCTACTCACTACTGATTCCAGTCTCCTCTGATGAAGAATGAAAACTGAACAGCAGATTAAAAAAGAACCGTAATTATGTAGCAAAGTTAATGTCCTGATTCATTTTAAAATTATATACACCCACCATATACATGTAGCCTTCATCCTTCACTGAAATGCAGCCTCCTCTGGGAGCTGTTTAGCAGCGTACTACTTATAAACCAGAGCAGTGCTACTGTATGTGGATATCAATAC